TGACTCACGTGTCTGAGCCCTAAGGACGCGGTGCTGCGATGCCTATGTTCACTAGGATCTCACATGGCAATAACCGAGGGAGGTCATCTAGCTTCAGCGTGCATCAGAAAACGACCATTGCTAGCTAGCTTGTGTGGCTTGCATTAGTAGAGCACAGAGCGAGGGAGATGGACGTATAAGTCCACTCCCATGGGAACATGTGTGCAAAGAGGAGGCTCGGTCTATAGTTTTCCCCACTGTCAAAGTGGCTAGGCTGTCATATATTCCAGGGCTTCACCTCGCCTACACAGGCACCACATTCTAATTGGATGTTAAAGACTCAAAGGTAATTCAACCATTGCTTTGATATTCCTAGGTTTCCGCTATGAACTAATATTAAGAAAATTTGTCTATACATACGTTGATGCTCCTTGCAAGTCACAGCAGCTCATGTTTTATTTCTTTCTGGAACGAGCTGAAACACACGGGCAAGATGAAGATTAGAGAAGGCAATTAAGGAGGGAGAGTCATGTTGAAGTTGAGTTTGTATGGTTATAGATTTTAATCCTTGTGTGGGTGGTGTTCTAAGTAATAGTTTCAACACATTCAAGAAATAGTATAAAGATAATGCATATTACATAAAAATAACACTGAGAATTTAGATGTATTGTTTGTCATGGAGCTGTGGCTGGCCGATTTACATGAAATTAATTCTCTCAGTTGTGGTAGAAAATATAATACACATAATCCATATTGTTATGCACTAGCTGTTGGGGAACGCAATAATTTCAAAAAAATTCCTACGCACACGCAAGATCATGGTGATGCATAGCAACGAGAGGGAAAGAGTGTTGTCCACGTACCCTCGTAGACCGTAAGCGGAAGCGTTATGACAACGCGGTTGATGTAGTCATACGTCTTCACAATCGACCGATCCTAGTACCGAACGTACGACACCTTCGCGATCTGCACATGTTCAGCTCGGTGACGTCCCGCAAACTCACGATCCAGTAGAGCTTCGTGGGAGAGTTTCGTCAGCACGACAGCGTGCTGACGGTGATGATGTTGCTACCGGAACAGGGCTTTGCCTAAGTACCGCTACGATATAACCGAGGTGGATTATGATGGAGGGGGCACCGCACACGGCTAAAAGATCAACTAATCAACTTGTGTGTCCATGGGGTGCGCCCCTCCCCCGTATATAAAGGAGTGGAGGAGGGGAGGGCCGACCCTCTCTATGGCGCGCCCTGGGGGAGTCCTACTCACTTTGGGAGTAGGATTCCCCCCTTTCCTAGTAGAAGTAGGAGCCCTTCCAAGTAGGAGTAGGAGAGGAAGGAAGGAGGAGAGAGGGAGGAAGGAAAGGGGGGCCGGCCCCCCTCCCAATTTGGATTGGGCTTGGGGGGCGCGCCTCCCTCTTTTCCCTTCCCTCTCCTCTATTCCACTAACACCCAATAAGGCCCATGTACTCCTCGGGGGGTTCCTGTAACCTCCCGGTACTCCGGAAAAATGCCCGAACCACTCAGAACCATTCCATGTCCAAATATAGGCTTTCAATATATCGATCTTTATGTCTCGACCATTTCGATACTCCTCGTCATGTCCGTGATCAAATCAGGGACTCCAAACTACCTTCGGTACATCAAAACACATAAACTCGTAATACCGATCGTCACCGAACGTTCAGCGTGCGGACCCTACGGGTTCGAGAACTATGTAGACATGACCGAGACTTATCTCCGGTCAATAACCAATAGCGGAACCTGGATGCTCATACTGGTTCCTACATATTCTACGAAGATTTTTATCGGTCAAACCGCATAACGGTATACGTTGTTCCCTTTGTCATTGGTATGTTACTTGCCCAAGATTCGATCGTCGGTATCTCAATACCTAGTTCAATCTCGTTACCGTTAAGTCTCTTTACTCGTTCCGTAATGCAACATCGCATAACTAACTCATTAGTCACATTGCTTGCAAGGCTTATAGTGATGTGCATTACCGAGAGGGTCCAGAGATACCTCTCCGACAATCGGAGTGACAAATCCTAATCTCGATCCATGCCAACTCAACAAACACCATCGGAGACACCTGTAGAGCACCTTTATAATCACCCAGTTACGTTGTGACGTTTGGTAGCACACAAAGTGTTCCTCTGGTATTCGGGAGTTGCATGATCTCATAGTCATAGGAACATGTATAGTTATGGAGAAAGCAAAAGCAACAAACTAAACGATCATCATGCTAAGCTAACGGATGGGTCAAGTCAATCACATCATTCTCTAATGATGTGATCCCATTAATCAATTGACAACTCATGTCTATGGTTAGGAAACATAACCATCATTGATTCAATGGGCTGGTTAAGTAGAGGCAAACTAGTGACACTCTGTTTGTCTATATATTCACACATGTACTGAGTTTCCGATTAATACAATTCTAGTATGAATAATAAACATTTATCATGATATAAGGAAATATAAATAACAACTTTATTATTGCCTCTAGGGCATATTTCCTTCACTAGTGTGTGTGTGAAATAGATGGATTATGGTCCCGTGTCCAATAAGATGGATATGTGTGTGTGTGTGTGTTAGAGAGAGAGAGAGAGAGAGAGAGAGAGAGAGTGGGAGGGAGAGGGGGAGAGAGTGAGGAAGAGGGAGGGAGAGAGTGTGTGTGTGAGGATTTGATGGTAAAAAAAGTCGTCAATGTCACTTGATATGTATGAAAATATTAAATGTAATATTAACATGATTAATATTGAACTCTTAAAATTAATGTGGCCCCGTAGCAACGCATGAGCGTTCTTCTAGTGTTGATAGCTTTCAAAAAAAATGTTCGACATATTTTAAAAATGTTCATGCATTTTAAAACAATTTTCATGGCATTTCCAAAAACAATGTTTACACAATCTAAAACAATATTTTAATACCATTCAAAAATTGTTCATGCATTGCTTTTTAAATGTCACATTTTTTAATTCTTAAGCAATGTAAAAAAATGCTTGCATAATTATTTTTAAAGCTACCATTCATAAAATGTTTGTGACATTAAAGTATTCTCGTGTTCCAAGAATATGTTCTTCACAATTTAAAAGAAATCACACAATCTAAAAACTCTTATCATAGTTTAAAAAATGTGTCATACCATTATAAAATGGTCAATGCGTATTTAATTTATAACATTTATTTGAGAAAAAATCAAAAAAATATTTGAAACAAATGTTCATCATGTATTAAATGTGTGTCAAAAAATATTATGCATGTATTAGGAAAAATGTATCACACGTATTGAAAATAGCCGACTTGTATTTGAGAAACTATTAAATAAATAAAGGAAAGACAGAAAAACTAGAAAACCAAAAAACAACGCATGGAAGGTTACCGGTCGAAACCACTCTGTACAACCTTCCCAAAAACTAGTAAGATGGGTCGTCCCACTAAGAAGAGGGCGCCCCAGCACCAGAGGCGATCCGATGATAGATCTCGCAATAGGCGAGAAATAGCCCTGGCGCGTGGAATAGACGAGAAATCGCACACTACGTGCTCGACTAGGTCTGCCCTGACCCATATTGTTTCTAGCCATTTTTTCTAAAAAAAATATTCCAAGTGGTTTTCTTTGGCTTTTCTTCTTTCTTTTATTTTCACTAGCGAGATTGTGTTAGTTTTCCCGGTTTATTTATTTTATATTCACTTTTATATTCTTGTTCAATTTCTTTTCCTTTATGCGTTTCATCTTTTTATTTTCACTCCTTTTCATTTTTTGTTCTACTATTAAAATTTGAATGAATTTGTTTTGGTATTTATTTGCACATGTACAATTTTTGTATCTACAAAATGCTTGTTAAGATATAGGGCCAATCTTTTGAAAACGTGGGACGAACTTTTAAAAGTATGCAATGAATATTTTGTAAATATGCCGTGACATTCTTGTAAATGTGTGACCTTTTTTCCCCCAAAAAAATCATGTCCTCTGTTGGTGGCTCCAACGGTCGACATCGAGGAGGGGAATCCTTGTGCCTCGCTCTGGCTAGTAGATAGGTTAAGGTTTAAATTCTCTCAGGAGGGTCACTCGGGCAAATGGCGGTGCTTCATCTTTGATTCGGTCTTTGGAATTCGTCCTTTGAAACAATTTCAATAAAACTTCGGCATAGATTCCTACTGGCTTTTTAGGGTGGCGAGGTTAGGGTACGCGGCGGCCAATTTGGTATCAGGTTCTTCAGATCAAATTCAATTCAAGGGTTCAACTTAAGGGCGATGACTTTTAGGGCACGTCCTCGAGGACTTTCCAGTTATCATTGACGTGGTCAGGCTGGTTTTGGTATGAGAGCGACAACGACGGCTCATGAGCGACCTATTCTGACGGTGGCATAGGCCGTTCAGTTGTCGATGTAATTTTTTATTATGTTTGATGTGCTCAGTATTTTCGGTGTGTTTATCCGCGTCTTTTCAAAAGAAAGATAAAAACGTAGAACTGTGACGTGTGCCTGGGAATCTAGGATGTCATGGTGCGGCACGATGCGGGTTCTGCGGGAGAGGCCAAGGCGAAATTAACTGCTAGAGCTTTGGTGGCTGCTGGTTGAATGAATGCTGTCGCTGCTGTTTCTTCTTCAGAGGGCGCCACGGGTACGGCGGGGCGCCTGCGAGCCCAGAGCGAGGCGTGGATGCAGGAGGAGACCGCGCCGCGATGGACGGCGCGGCCACAGTGCGCAGGAGCGATGGGATGAGACTTGTGAGCAGGTCACCGGACGGCGTTGGCTAGCAGAATGACATGTCATTCATGGATGCTTCTGAGTTAGTGCTACCAAGGAGCACAGCGTCCCACATTACAAGTTTCCTTTAATTTGGAGAGTAGCCACACCTTTCCGAACTGCATGCTAGTTAAAGTTCAAACTGTTTGAGCAACAGCTAGCTGACACCAGAATGGCATGCCGATACATAGCTGCAGATTTTCACCCATCCATGGATATACAGTACTGCATGCATGGATGCTTCTGAGTTACTAAAAGGACTACTACTACTGTCTCAGTTGATCTCTTTCATCGCCGGTTGTGCCGGGGCAGGAGGGGCCGGGAGGACGCCCTTCTCCTGGAAGCTGACGACGGTGTCGTAGAGGCACTGCGCCACCGGCGTGAACTCGAGGCCCAGCTCACGGAGCCGCTGGTTCGACATCTTGTACGGCTGCTTCCTCGGGTTCACCTCGTCAGAGCACCTGCGATACAGTTAACTGTTAACAACAGCTTGTATTTTGTTGACTGTCCATGTCACCAAATGACTCAAAATTCTACACTTCAACGCGACACCATTACTCCATTAGCACGTGTGTTGACATGGTTGCAAGTTGCAACGCAACAGAGACAGGGATGGGCCTAGCTCAGCTAGCTCGTCGCTCGCTGCGATGGCTGATTACTAGTACTACTGACCTGCTGGGGATGGGGTACTCGGGGAAGAACTTGCGGAGGATGGTGACGACGTCCTCCCGGTGGAGCACAGCGCCGTCGGCCACGCAGAGGTAGCGCCCGGCGGCGGCGGGGGACTCGAAGACGAGGACGTGCGCGGCGGCAGTGTCACGGACGTGCACGTACGCCTGCACGGCGTTGGCGTACGTCTTGGCGGAGCCGTCCAGGTACTTGAGCACGTGCGTCAGGCTGGCGTTCACCGCCGGCTGCAGCGCCGGGCCCTGCACCAGCACCGGGTTCACCACCACCAGGTCCACCCCGCGCGCCGCCGCCGCCTCCCACGCCTCCCGCTCCGCCACCGTCTTCCCGTAGCAGTACCAGTTCTGACATAAGCACGCACACAGAACGATCAGCGACGAGCCGCCGGTGACGATGGCAGGCCGGGTGGATGCAAAATACTACAACGCACCTTGGTCTTCTTGCAGAACTCGAGGTCGCTCCAGCAGGACTCGTCGACGACGGCGTCCGGGGCGCGGCTGGGGTCCATGGCGACGGCGCCGATGGAGGACGTCAGCACGACGCGGCCGACCGTGCCGGACTCCGCCGCGGCGTCGATGACGTAGCGCGTGCCCCTCACCGCCGGCTCCACCATCTCCTCCTGCAAAGCGCGCACGCACATCAAGATTTGCTGATAACTGCGTCCATGCATGCATGATTGCATGCCATGCTACTGCTGACGACTTTGACCAATTGTCCAGTGCAGTCCAGTCAGAATAGAAACGGAAAAGTAAATAAATTTGATGGAGCCAAATCCACAGCAGTTATCGAATCATCGGAAGGCAATAATGGTTGAGTATCAATTTGACAAAGGTTAAACGTACGTACCGGATCGTCGGTAACTGGCGAGGCGGTGTGGAAGACGCCGTGGCAGCCGGCGATGGCGGCGCGCAGCGCGTCGGCGTCGAGCAGGTCCGCCTTGCACAGCACCAGCCGCTCCGCCGCGCCGGCGAGGCCCCTCAGGTGCGCGTTCTTCGCGTCATCTGCACGATGCGTACTCAGAGGTTAATTGAGACGACGAGTCAGAAGTCCAAACCACCGCGCGCGCGAGCAGATCGATTTCGCCGGCGCCACCGTATATGCAGGCACGTACCGGGGTTCCTGACGGTGCCTCGCACGGCGTACCCCTTCTCGAGCAGGAGCTTGACGATCCACGACCCGATGTAGCCGCCGGCGCCGGTCACGCACACCGTCTGCCCGTGCCCCATGGCCGTGGCCGTGGCCTCGCCGCCGACGGTCATGCTGGCTCCTGTCCGGCGCGGCGCGGTGCGGCACAAAGATCTCCCCTCCGGTCGGTTAGGTGAATGAATAGATGTGCTGGCGATATCAACTAGTCAGGCAGATGAGAACAACGTATGCGTGGGGAGCGCTGGTCTCTGTGTTGTGTGTGCGTACTTATAGATAGAGGAGCACGCGAGTGTTTGGTGGTGGACTTGACAGAGAAAAATCTGACGTCTCCGGCTGGTAAATCAGATGAGATCTCCTTTCTCTTTCCCTCACTGGCAGGGCTTTACCAGAAGATACCCAAATACTTTTGATGTTTTCATTCATTCATGGTGTAGACTCCGGGTGCACGTTTCTTGACCGAGCAGGTTGCGGTGCGGCCCGGGTACACTTGCGCCGGATGCATTTGGATTTGGGCAAACGTGTTTGTTCTATATATCTTATTATCTCTAGTTCTAATGTCTGAGTTGGTAGAAATAGCATAAATATCAGTGCGTTGCAACGGGTGGAAAAACAACACACGCTCTTAACCCAATATCCATCACGCAAAACCACAATAGGTCCACATCTTTTATTTTAACGGAGCATTACATTTGTATTGCCGTTTATCCTTCTCACCCTTGTCGGCGGTAGCCTCAATTTTCACACAAATTAAAGTGTGTTTGCATGTGGTTAATCCTAAGGCATCTCTATCTCCCACTCTCCCCCCCCCCCCTCTCTCGCTCTCTCTCTCGCCCTCGCAACGAGAAATCTGTTATTTTTCCT